TCCTTTATCTGATCTGGCCTTTGTCACGATTTCTCTGAGTCATTAGAACAAGGTGCTAACACCTGGGGGGGGGGTTCTCTCCGAGACGCTCTTGGTGTCTCAGTGTTGCACTTCCTTAATGTCTGTCTGTCTGTCTGTCTGTCTGTCTGTCTGTGTCTTATCTTGTCTGTATCGCTGAGTCCCTGCCTCCACAGAACTAGGCTCTCTGGCTTCCAAGTTTCTCTCCCCCATCTTGTGCCTCCCCATCTCAGAGTCTGTCCCTCTGTCTCCCATCCCGGTCGCTCTGTCCATCCATCTCTCTCTCCCTCCCAGCCCCTCCCTCCCTCCCCCTCTCTCCCTCTCTGTCTCACTCTTCGCCTCTCTCTTTTCTCTCTCAAGTGTTTTCAATTTTATTCTGAGTGGAATTAACTACCCCTGATGTCAAATTGCCGCCGAAATCGATAATAATATCTTTACAAAAGAGGATATTCTTCTCTCGGAGAACGGCCTCTGAAAAATGGAAAATTTAGTCGAAATTGATTCATTACTTGACACTTTATAGAACGGCTGCGTATTGATCGCACCTGTCATGTCCCATCTCCCCTAATCGAAGCTGAAGGCCGGCTCCGATGCCTGCTATTTTTCATAATTCCACCGCAGCCGACAGCTCCACAAACACCGCGCTCTCGCTCAGCCTCCACCTCCCGCGCTAGCCACCACCGCGCGCGCCCTCGGCCTGGCCCTGGCCTCGGGGCCGTGCCGCGCCAGCACCGCGTCCCTCGGTCCATCTGTCCACCGATTCCCAAGATGCCCCGTTTGTCCTCCCTCACCCGAGGCCACTCTCCCTTGCCTTCACTGTGTCCTCCCTGCCCCACCCTGGCTCCAATCTGTCTGTCTGTCCCTCCCCAGGCCCCCTTTCCTCATCTCTCCATCTTCCCCCCTCCCCGCTCCCATCTCTCTCTCTGACTTCCCCCACTTCCACGCCTTAAGCTCGTGGCGCCTTCTTCTGTCCCTATGGCTGACTATCTATCCTTCCAGAACAGCATCTCCTGCCTCCTTTTTTTCTCAACCTTCCATGGTCCCTCTGGGGCTATTAGGCTAGGGTGGGTGTCAGGCTGGGGGGCGGGTGCCACAGTCTGCTATTCCCTCCCCCATCAGAGCGCTCCCCTCGTCTGATATTCACAGTCAATCTGCCTTAGTTCCTGCTTCCCCGTTCCTCTTAGCCCTTCCTCTGCCTCTGGGGAGTGCCGGGCTCCCTCCTGCCTCCTCCCCTAGCCTGGTGTGGTACACTGGACTTGGCCCATCGGGTAGTGAGAATCAGACACAAGGCCTGCCCTCAAGGAACTTGGAGCCTCCCAGGGATCTCCTGGTCAAGCTTCTCCAAAGGACTTGGGGTGATGGGGATGGACTGGGCTCTGGGAATATGGTGGTCCAAAGCTGGGGTGTAGATGCAGTTGGCACTGTCCAGGGATGAGTTCCATGTGGACAGCTGAGTATTTAAGGACACAAGCGCCAAGACTTCAGGTCCCCAGGCTCCACACCCACTTCCAGCTCCACCTAGCTGTGGAATAGGCAGCAAATGATCTCTGTGTCTCAGTTTCACTATTTGTAAAATGCAGTTAACCGCGTATATGTCCCTCATAGGTTGTGAGAATTGGGTTAAAGGCATATAGTGCTCAGGTGTGTAGTGTAAAGGGGACCCATAAAGGTGCTCACCACACTGACGACTGTCAGTGTACAAGGACTAGACTCATTCAGTACCCAACAAGCCTTGCTTCTGCTCCCGTGGCCTTGGGCTGCTATGGGGGAGGGGCTGGGACAATGAATTCTTGGAGGTGAGAAACACTTCATTGCCCCAGGTTCTAGTCCCAGCGCTGTCAGCTGCTGGGGGCGGGGGCAACCTTCAAGGAGGGTCAGTTCCCAGAGCGGGGTCGGTCTTCTTTCCCTCAATAGGGGATTTGAGTTTAATGAATAACACAGATCCTAGATGACCTCTCCCCCTGTGGGCAAAACATTTAGCCCACTGGGTAATGAAGGCTGGTGAGGATGTCCCCACCGCAGGCTCTCTCCTCACTCTCCTAGGGGACATTACACACCCTGAGGGCGTCCTTTCTCTGCAGGGCATTAACTACAGTTTTGTGCTCCTGCAGGCCCCCTGGGGAACTTAACTACAGCTTAATGATCCCCCTCCTGTGAGATGCTTCCTACGGGCAAGCGGGTGTTGGCAACGCTGCTGAAGAGAGAATACCCAGACCCAGGGGGTGTGATACCTCTGCACCGGAATGCAGCACCTGCAGCGAAAGCTCCAGCTTTACTGTGCACCTACTGTGTGCCTTACCGGGCACTGCGCACACCAGTGGCTGCCTCTTACGGGCATCCTCTCCATCCCCCCAGAGCCCCAGAGAGGGAACGTAAATCTCCCAAAGGTGCACAGCACAGAAGGTGTTATAGAGATCAAAGAGGCACTTGGGGTGGGCGAGGGGGACCAAGAGAGTTCTGAACAATCAGATACGTGTTGGTCATGTCACCAAGGACATCAGATCTCTCCTTGGAGGAGGGGAGTATTCTACACCCATGATTGGACACTGTAAGCTGCTTAAAGATGTTAGAATCTCTGGTATTTCTGATTGACCCCCCCCCCCAGGCTGTCTTTACCTCTCCTATGAGGGTGGAGGGCAGAGTTTAGAGATAAAGTGTGAGGCCTTTTGGATGGCTGAGCGGTCTTATGGGTGTTGCTAAAATTCCAGAGATTCTGTTTGCCGGGAGGGTGTGAGGTGTAGTGTAATAGAGTATGTCATCTGGGTGTTATTTACAGTCCAAAGGTGTTCTCCCTGCATAGACATCTTATCATAGCACACTTCATGACCATAAATGCAGCATTAATGGCTTTTCTCTTCTTTTCTTTTCACCCTGAGACAGCCAAGGCTCACCTTGAACTCCAGATCCTCCTGCCTCAGCCTCTGGAGTACAGAAATGACAAGCAAAACACTCCCCACCCCCTGATTTCCAGCTAGAGGCTTGTGTTGTGTTTTGTTGTTTGGAGACAGGGTTTCTCTGTGTAGCCTTGGCTGTCCTGGAACTCGCTCCATAGACCAGGCTAGCCTCGAACTCAGAGATCCACCTGCCTCTGCCTCCCGGGTGCTAGGATTAAAGTGATGTGCTACCATCCATGTCCAGTTCAGCTAGTGTTCTTGGTGGGTTTTAGCTTTTTTGACAGGTATGGCGTACAAATCAAGGAGTCACATCTATGCACAGTAGATTATTTCCCTCCCAAAGGGTGTCTCATACAGTTGAAGGAGCTCTACTTCATAAAGAATGTCCCATAACTTCCTCCAGGATATTCAGAATCGTGCTCTGGAAACGGGTTGGGGGGGGGCTGCTCTCTATCTTTGGTAAAAGTCAGTCTTTAAGAGCTGGAATAGACACCCCAGGGTCATGTCCCTCACCCAGAGGGGCTTACGTGCAGCCTGGTGAAATTTGATGGCCAATGCTGCCAGGGTGTGTATGTGGGGAGGGGAGTGGGGATGTGGAGAAGGGGGTGGGTGGGGAGGGCTCCCTGCTACCTCCTTGAGTTGAACAAGGTAGAAGCAGATCGGCCAATCCCAGCTTTACACACATTTTAGTGGGTTATTTTGAAGAACTGGTGCTCATCGTAGTGTGTTTGCCCCACCCACCACTCTAAGGGGTAGCTGTCATGTTACTCCATTTTCAGAAGAGGAAACTAAGACTCGGGGATGATGAGTGACTTAGTCAAGTGAGTGGTGGGGGGCGGACCTTCTCTGATACAAAGGGCGACATTCTCACAGCACCGTAGTGTGTGCTCTTGAAGGGGAGTTGGGGTGGTGACTGCCACACCAAGGTTCTAGACACAAAGTATCTATTTGGTCATGCCAGTCTTGCCCTGAGACATACTTGCCTCTCCTGGAGTAGGTGTTTTTTTTCCCCCCAAGGAATGAGATCTTGGATGGAGGTCAGGGTGTGTGACATGTTTGTAATTCCAGAATTGGAGAAATGGAGGCAGGGCCACCTTGAGCAAGAGCTCAAGGCCAGCCTAAGGGACATAGTACGTTGAGTCCAGCCTGGGCTACGTGAGACCATGTCTTAAAATACAAACAAAACACAAAGAGTTCGTGGGACTTGGAAGTGGAGAGGAACCTGACCTGGGAATGGGGGTACAAACTGGGGAAGGGAGGCCAAAAAAGGGAGGATTTGTGAGGGGAAAGAGATTAGGATGGTGGCCCGGGAGAGGGCAAGGTCAAGTTGCAGGAGGAGGTCCTGTGGAAGATGAACTGCTTCTGAGGTCCCGAAGATGGTTGATAGTGTATTTCAGTGTGCCAGTAAGGGTCTGCACCCTGGTGTGTGTGGGGTATGTGTCACGGTGCAGCCCCGCGTCTGTGCATCTCAGTACTGTGTAGGTGGATCAGGAAGAGGTTGGGGGGTTGGGATCGGTATGTGTGCAGAGTGCGTGTCTAGAATAGAAGGCATGGCCGTGCACTTGTGTGCATGTGCCTGCCTCTGTGTTTGGCGGTATGTCTCTATGCCCAGGCTGCGTCCTGTGTATGTTGTGCATGGTTTATGTCACTCTGTCTATGTGTCCCTATGTCCGCTGTCCATGCTGTGTGTGTGTGTGTGTGTGTGTGTGTGTGTGTGTGTGTCCTTGCATAGGCCAGGCCCAGCTTTGCCCGTGTGCGGCAGCGGTCCTTCCACGAGAGCCTGTCCGTCGGTCTGCGAGTTTTCCCGGTGTAGGACAGGGAGGAGGTGGGGAGGGAAGGGGAAAGGTGTTGGGGGTGTCTCTCCGCCCCCACCCCACCCCCACTCCCTCAGTCCCGGGATCGAACCTTATTTAGAGTCGCAATTCGACATCTGTTTTCAAATTTGATCAGCTCTGAACTTTATTTTCCGAGTTTGAGGAAAATTATATTCCATCGATCGCGCGCCCGCCCCCTCCCCCGCACAGCCGCCGCCGCCGCCTCCATATATCTGCTCGCCGAGCCGGGCCGGGCGGCCGCGAGGGCGGGAGAGCGCGCCGCGCCGCGGAGGAGCTAGGGAGGAGGAGGAGGAGGAGAAAGAGGAACAGCAGGAGAGGAGGGGGTGCAGAGGCACAGTCCCCCGCGCCCTGACCCGGGTTCCCTGCTTCCCGTGTCCTGTTCTCTTCTGCGCGCGTCTCTGTTGGGGTGTCTCCTCTGCATCTCTGCTCGTGCCCCTCGTCTCTGTTTCCCTGTCTCTGTCACGCTGTCTCAGGGACTCCCAGACCCCATCCTCTTGGTCTCCATCTCCGCGGGACTCCCGGCAACCCGCATCCCTCGCCCCGCGCCCCGGGGTCTCCTTCCTCAGGACGCCGCGGGGCCATGGCTGCGGGATCCGAACTTTAAACACTTCTCGGACCGAAGCGGATGCGCAAGGCGCGGAAAGTGAGTGAGCGCTGCAGGCCATCTCAGGGGCGGGGATGAGGGGCGGGGATTGCTGCCCGGGGCGGGGGCCCGGGCCGCGGGAGGTGGTCCCCAAAGACCCTAGGGCAGGGATGGTGCCCCAGGCAGGGCAGCCTGAGGGTGGGCGGCAGGGTGCAGCGGCGCCTAACTCTGGGGAGGTGGGAGGGAATCCCTCCGGAGAACTTCTGGACAGGGGTGCGAGGTGGGAGGGATGAGCGCTGGAGGCAGGACCTTGAGACTGGGGTGCAAGGTATGGGGAGGGGGGCAGGGTGTGGAAAGCCTCAGGAACGGGATCAGGACAGACTAGAGTGTGACTATTTGGGGATGGGGACTGAAGGCCAACTTGAGCTTGGGTCTGGATATTTGAGCTTGAGGAGTCTGGACATTTAGGACCAGAGTGCCATGGGGTTTAAAGGTCAAAGTCTGAGGACTCGAATATTTGAGACCTGGGGCTCCGAGCCTAGAGTCAGGATGTTTGGTGCTGAAACCCTAGTTATTTGAGGATGGAGCTGACTCGTTGGGGATGGGACTGGTACTGAGGATTTGGATTTAGGAGAGAGGAAGTCTGGATTGGGGCTGGAGCTCAAGGCAGAGAGTCCACAAAACTGGATCTACATATTTGGTGTGAGAGGTCACACAGTCTGTGGGAAGGGTTATTGGAGCCCGACCTGGGTTCAGCCCATTGGGAGCAAGGAGTGCCTAGACTTGAACTTTGGTGTGGGGATGTCTTGGACATCCTGTCTATTCATCATTCCACCACAGTCACCAGCCCTGTTGGGCTACTTCTGCCTCATATCCACTGCCTATCTCTCCTCACAGTCTCTGTCTCTGCCAGCATCTCTGTGACTTCTTCCAGCTCTCCCAGGAGCCAGGATCTGTCTCTCTAACTCCTTATCTATCTGTCACAACACCTCTCTTACCTCTTTGGCACTAACTCCTAGACTACCCCTCCCAGAATCCCCGTGCCTATCTCCACGTCTCTGTCTCTCCCTCTCCCGCGGCATCTCTCGGTCTCTCACTATCTCTCTGTCTCTGATTCTCCCAGCATCTCTGTCTCTGTCTCCCCCTCGCTGGTTTCCGCTCAGATTAAGCCGGGGACCTAATTCCAGGCCCAGGATCGAATTTTCTGGCAACAAAGGGAAATAGCGAATCGATCGGTCGCTCCGGAGATTAAGAGACAAGCGGCGCGCGGATCTATCACGGCTAAACGGCCCCCCCGCCCGCTCCCCCCGCCCCGCCGGCCCGCCGAGGCCCAGACGCGCTCCGCATCGCCAAACAGCCTCCGGAGCCCGAGCTGCCCGGCAGGCCCAGGCCTCCCCAAGCCCAGAGCTGGAGCCGCGGGAGGAGCCTGTGAGCTCAAACTGGCTCCTGGGAAGACAGCACACCTGTGCTTCAGGTAACACCTTTCACCCGCACCCCAACAAGCAACTCGCCTGTCCCATCCATGTGACCCCTTCAAGTTCTCCACATCTGGACCTCCACCTAACGCGGCCTGATTGGACCTGTCGTGTGTTCCCTTCATCTACTTCTGGGGCTCACAAGGGCAGGCATACACGGGTGCTCCAGGTAGCCCCTGTCTCCTTCAAGCCTGCCCCAGAGATGCTCATTAGCATAAAGTGTCTCACTTAACAGGAGCCCTCTCTTACCTGCCCTCCCGGGTGACACTTGTTTTTCAGAATCTGAACCTCTACCTGAATCTGGGGCCAATTTCATTTCTCATGTCACACAGTCCCCTGCAACACCCAAACCTTCCCCTCAGTTCTCTCAGTGTACTGTTTCTCACATCTTTACATTTAACGTATGCTTCCACTCCAGAAGTACCTGTTACACACACACACACACACACACACACACACACACACACACACACTCCCTTGCACTTAGCCTTCAGATGCAGCATGACCTCACCCACCCTCCTGAGCCATCCTTATACCAGACCTCCCAAAACAGCCTCAGGCCACCTAGGAGCACTCCTGTCACCCCCACATCCCCTGCCCATCTTTTCTATTAATACACTTACAGGTCTGCAACTCAGTTCACAGAGCACCTTAGTGTCAGGTGAAGCTCTGGGTTCCATCCCCAGCCCTCCACAAACCAGGTGGAGTGGTACAGACCCATAAAATCCAGCACTCTGGAGGGGGAGGCAGGAAAATCAGAAGTTCAAGGTCATCCTTGGCTACACAGCATGTTTGAAATCAGCCAGGGCTGCATAAGACCCTGTCTTCAAAAACAAAACCAAAATACACCTTCTGCCATCTTGTTTTCTAAACCCGTCCGGCTCACTGGTCCCAGACGGTCTGGAGGCACATCTGCTTCTCATTTCCTAGCCCCAGACCCCTGAGAGTTCTCATGTACATCCGTTCCCTGCTGTCGCGTGTTTCCTGACACCTTTGCCTGTCCAGGGCCCTTTTTGCAAGGCCTCTGAGAGCCTCACCTCTCACACCTGCATGCTTGACACTCTCAAGTCTCATCTCTACCACGCTCTGTCTCTACAACACAAGACATGGTCTTTTGGCCATGGGGCTCTGCTGCCCTCCCCCCATGTCGCCTCACACCTGTGCCTCAGGTCCTCAGTGTCCCTTTTCTTCCTCTCCTACACACGAATCACCCATGTTCACCCATGTTCTCATGTCATCTTTCCAGGCTGCACCTCCACACCAATGCCTGTCCCTCACCTGTGTACCCCGGGCATCATCCTTCCCCTCTCTCTGCCTTACATCTGTTTAAGCTGTTCTCTGTCACAACACTCTTTCTCAGCATGCTCCAAAAGGGACACAGATGTCTGGGCAAATCCCTTACCCCCATGCAGCTGGCTCCCTACACTGGCTCTACCTCTGTGTTTATTCCTACACCTTTAGCAATCCTCAAGTCTCGGCAAACCAGCTGCCACTCCAACAGACCCTCTCACCTCCACTCTCTGCCCTCTCAACTCATTGGTCACATCTTAAGGACCAAACCTTCAAATCCTATCTTGTCTCCAGTCCGATTCATCCCTTCTCATAGCCCATCTCTACCCACCTAGCTTCTTACCGCTTGAGAGCAATACCTGTAGCATTTGTAAACACGTGATATCTGTGCCTAGCCACCGGCGGCACACGTAGAGACCTCCCCGGAAGCAAGACCTGTGACATAGGCCTGTCATCCCACCTGCTTCAGAAGGTCCGAGTTCAACCTACCTTTGTGAGGCTCTCACAAGGAAAAATTAAAAAGCGGGTTTGCAGGTGTAGCTCAGTGGTAGAACACTTGCTTTACGTGAATGAATAAAACCCTAGGTTTAGCTCTAGACACTAGGGATATTTATTTATTTTGAGACAGGGTCTCTCTTTACATAGCCTTGGCTGCCCTGGAACTCACTCTGTAGACCAGGCTGCCCTTGAACTCACAGAGATCTGCCTGCCTCTGCCTCCCCAGTGCTAGGATTAAAGGTGTGTACCAATATGCCTGGCTTAAGGCTTGGGTCTTCTAAGTGTCCAGGTGATGTGGCTGTCACTTCTGGACATCATAGCCGACTTTGAGCACCACCCATTCACATACACCCCTGGGGACCTGCCCTCCCCCACATTGGTGATGCTGCTGATGGCACTGATGACAGCTGATTTGAAGACCATTTCTGTGACAGGGTGTTGTCCACTGTCACACTCATCCTCACGGGACCATTATAAAGCAGGTGCTTGACTCATGCCCCCATTTTACAGAAAAACAAACTGAGCTCAAAGAGAAGAAATCCTTTCTCCGAGGTCGAAGAACCAAGTCAGACCAAAGCCACGTGACTTCAGAGATGGCCTTCCCAGCCAAACAGGCTTGCTTGCCTCCCATATCCGCCATCAAGCAACCTTCCTCTGAGGACACACCTGTCCATCTTGTCTCCTTAGCAACCCTTGTTTCTCCATCACCAAGAACTAACTTCCCAGCCTTCCTTTGCCCTTGCTATCAAGGGTGCCCAGGCCTCTGCCGCTCTTGTCTCTCACAGACACTGACCCCCTGGGATCAAAGCTTCCTCTCCCATCACCCCTCCCAACACACCCAGACACCCCACCCCTCTCCACAGGGGCCTCTGCCACCCTTTGTCCCATTGCCTCAGCCTGCCTGTCTCTGTTTCATGGACCCTGCATCCCTGTCTCCTTTAGTGTTCCTCCTTATGCCTCTTCTTTTTTCTCCTGTAATTTGGGGGATGTGACCCAGCATCCTCATACATGTCAGGAAAGGACTCCCACATCGACCTCTATCCCAGCAATCTCCCCCCCACACCTTTGATACAGAGTCTAATGTAGCGCAGCTTGACCTTGGGCTGACTATGTAGCCAGCCTTTGCCTGCCAGGTGCTGGGGGATCACAGGTGAACACCACCATGCCTGGCTTCCAGCCCTTTACAGTGTTTCAGACAGAGCCTTGCCCAGTTGCTCAGGCTGGCTTTGAACTTGCTCTGTAGCTCAGGCAGCCCCCCCCCACCCCCGCCTCAGTCTTCCAAGTATCTGGGACTACTCCAGGGAGCTCCCTGTCCCTTTGTACATCCAAGTCTCTCTTCTCTGTATCTTCCACCGTCTCCTCCAACTCCTCTTCTCTTCTCATCTTGTCTCTTGTGCTACCCTTTGACAGTAGAGATACTGGGGCCTTGAAACCATCCTGACCTGCATTCAAGTCCAGGATTCATCACTCATCCTTGTCGGCCTGTTTCCAAGTTAGCGTGCCCTGTCCAAGCCTCAGTTTTCACATCTGTGAAATGGGCACCATGGCAGTTCTGACCCTACAGGTGGTGGTAAGATGGTGCTGAGGGAAACCACAAGGCCAGAGCTATGTAGGGGTTAGCCTTTTGCCTCTGCGTCCTCTCCTGGTCCTATCTCTTATCCGGGGCTACCACATGGCCTGGTCAACAGTTAGGAGTGTGTGTATGGTGAGGAGAACGGATCAAGAGGTGGGCAGAGGAGTCCCAGGCAGAAAGGCCTGGGCATGGGACTGGTGTGGAGCTAGGGACAGGGATCGATC